TGACATTTGGTTAATCACATAATCCTTCTTAAGTCCTAACTGATTACACATTGAACCGAATGCGATAGAACTTGACCAATGTTCAATTGTTCTAAACCGATTCCAATTGAACATCTAACTATTCAGTTTAGGGGTTAATATAAAATATCAAATTGGTTTACTAATCAAACCGGTTTCAAACGAACTTTTAGACAAATCAAACGAAATAAAAACAAAGAAAGGTTTGGTAATCAGGAAATACAAAAAAAAAAAAACTGAATCAAACATGAAATCAGATTAAAATCACAACTAAACCGAGTTTAATATGAAATTGGAAGCAAATCGGGTAATGTGCATGACAGAGACCTGTTCCTAACTTTGAAGCAGCACAAAAGAAGAACCATGAACACAGAGTTATTACAAACAGCTGTCTGGACAATATTACCTACACACAGGCCCGGTTCTTGGAAGGACTTACCAACAGGGCAGTGATGAAAATAACACTAGAAAAGCATTTATCAGAGCCCTAACCACCTGAGGTGGTTCCTCCCTTCCTAGCTCAGTCGTGTGAATCCAGTTTACTTTCACAGTGTTCACCCCATGCTGAACCACCTGGCCTCTCTTTGCTTTAAGTCTATTGGTATACCATACCACAGCTTGGCCTCTATAATAGGGCTCATTGATGGACTCCTCCGCAGCATTTGTAAAAGCAGGTTCAAGAGTATCGGGATCGGGATCTAAGTTCTTACTATACCGTCATCAAACTTCACCTTAAGATCCAGTTCCACTTCTTCAACTATGCCTACCCATGACTCGTAGATGACAAAATCTCCAACGAATAAACATCTGATCCTTTCCATTGACTCGGTTCCTATGTCGCGGTGAATTATATCACCGCCATGAGATGCTGCTAGATCAACTTTCGTATCTGTTTTAAGTATGTATCCCACCTTCTTTTTCTCCATTACTGAACACACAATTTTCCCATGAGAGACTCTTCTCGATACAAGCACTAGCTTGTCCTTGTCAAAGTCTTCTGATTTCTCTTTATCGATCGGATATAAAGAGAGTCTGTCGGAACTCACAACTCCAATGGCTCCTGTTTCTCTTTTCATCACTACATAATTTGCACATATCTCCATTTCTCCTTGCGTACCTGTAACCATTGCGTGGTAATAAAACTCAATCGATTAGCTGCACATGAAAATACGATAGAAAAATATATGTGTACAGAAAAACATAGAATCTGACTAGCATATCGAAAGCATATAAGTGATGTAACTAAGGGCTGTGAACTGCGGATGCACAATTAATATGTAATTCTGAGAGTACCTGTGGTGGCACCAGTTTGCTCCCGAGCCCTTCATAAAATACAAACGACATTGATCAGCTATTAAATATAGATAACAATGATAACAATGTCAAAGGAAAACATAAAACAATATACAGGGCCATCCTTATGTCGATATTCAAGTTTACTTCAACCATTACAATACTTCAACAGTCTTTGAAAGGTTATTAATGATTTCAAACCCATCCCACCAGTAAACATAACTAGTTATCTACCAGATGAGCAAAAAACCAGAGTATTTGCACCACATTAGTCATTATTCACTCCCTTCTTTAGTGAAAATTTTAATTGCTAACAATCTAAGGAATTAACTATTTAGTTTTTCACAAGACCACTTGAGCATGAAGCAACCGAGAACTAAAGGACGTGTTACTCCTCAACTAAGTTTAAGAATCTTAAAAACTGCAAAGCGGATTCTCACTTACTGGCTGGTTGTATTCCAATACCCAGAGAAAAGTGATTGCTGCAGAGTCATCATGTGCTAAGGAGCAAAAAAATTCACAACATTAGGCAAAAGAAACTGCATCATATGGAAATATCTAACGTGTACAAAATTCTACTGTGAAGAGACCACATGCATAAAAACAGCATAGGCACATGTGAGGAGGCTGAACAGACCTGCATTGCCTCTGGGGAGTTAAGCAGACGAAGGAACCCTGGCTTCAGTGTCACGCTTTGGAGTTCTGGGTTGAGACTTATGATCTTGACTTGAAAGAAAATATTAAAAACATGTTATCAATAAAACACAAAGCCTAAATTATACTAATCCAGACAGTACCTGATTCGTGTATTGTGGATTGGAATGTAAGCCTAGTATTTGTAATAACTGGTTCATTTGAGAGGCATCAGGAGTAGCACCAACCATTGGATCCTCACTTGAAGCCCTTCATAAAAGACAAACGAGATCAGCTATAATAGAAAACAGTATACAAAGCCATCCCTGCTGAGAATTAACAAGATGTGTTACTCCTCAACTAAGTTTAAGAACCACAGCAAAGGAGATTCCCACTTACAGGCTGATTGTGTTCCTATTCCGAATGGAAAGTGATTGCTGCAGAGTCATCACTTGCTAAGAGCCCAAAAAATTACGCAATTTTAGGCTGGACAAACTTCAACATTCGGAAAAGCTCAAAAATACAAAAGTCTACTGTGAAGAGAGCAGATGCATAAAGACCTGCACCTGATCCCCATGGAGAGCAGAAAACGGATTAGAATCTACATTGTTTCCAGCATTTCCAGAAACTGTTGGAGTGTTCAGCAACGGTTCCTGGACATTTCCAGAATCTACTCATGTTAAATCTCTCATGAGTAGATGCAATATTACTACTCATCCTTCTATCAGTATTTCGTATCACCTCACGCGTAAGCTTGTTAGAAGCTGCTGAACGTTGCTCATCATAGAGAAGAGCTGTTTCAGGGTATGTAACTAAACCATAACTCTCCATAGCTCCAGCAGCAGCATCTGGTATTGCAACCATATCCAATTTGGGAAGGGGGTATGGGAGGGCAAGGTACCTACAAGAATGATTGGAGTTAATTTGCAGCGAGTATGATACAAGCCTATAAGTACAAGGGAGGGGCTATGAAACAACCAACAAAAGAATTCCAGAATTAAGTTTCATATGTCGACGAAGGACCTACTCTTTGAACAGATCCAATGTCTTGGCAGCAACATGCAATGCAAATTTTCCTTGGTCGGCTTTGCCTACTTGACAGTATACTCTGACTTTAATCCCTGAGCAAAAAGATACAGTTGATTTAGAGCTTATATAAATGACCAGACATCAGATAGAAAAGGATAATATGAAATTTACCATCGCAAGTATGATCTTCCACGTAGTCAAACAAACCAACAACTATTGCTACCAAATATGTAGACATCATAGGTGTCTCTTGGTAGGAGACGATTTTCAGATTACGATCAATCTTCTCCTCTACGACGGGCATATTGGAGAGAGCTACTACATTATTTGGCACCACTACCGTAATTTGAAAGGTAGCCTGTTGCACATGGACAAATAAAGACCAAGAAAAAAAAACGGAGTAATCAAGCTTATACCAAGAGAAAAAACATGTAGATACCTTCCAAGCAGGTTCATCCCAGCATGGGAAGCACCTCCTAGCATCTGCTTCAAACTGGTTCGTTTTTTCATTTAACATTCCGTTGAATCCCAATTCCAAAACTCCCATTCCAACGGGTAAAAAATTCGCAAAATTCCAACACCACAATTTCATCATCGTCAAATTCATGGATTCTCAGAAGTGAAACCTAATAATCAACAAGATTAACATCAAATCAAGACCACAATTTCTATCGCACTCTAAAAAATCCAAATTATTCCAAATTCATATCATCACCAAAAGAAAAACGTGATAGAGATTATGGATCCGAAGCAACGCAACTTGAACTGCAGGTGTCTACTTAACAAACTAAATTTGTATTCGGTGAAATCAAATCCGTTCGATTCTCAGAAACGAAACCTAAAAAGCAACTTGATTAACTGTTGCTGATTCCATATCGGCGCTAATTGCTCATCAAACCAACGTAATTCCTCTCACATTATCGAAAAACGAACTCATATCATCACAAACAAACAAACAAAAAGGCGATAGAGAGGTTGGATTCGAGCGCTGTTGATACCTCAGAGGAATTACGAGGAGTGAAGGAAACGGAGGCGTTGTTCACGGAGAGATCAACCGCATTCAGAACGATGAATCGAGTAGCGGTGACAATATCAACGTCGATTGCGACGGTTCCGGCGAAATCTCCGGCGGTTAGATCGGGACTCAGGCGGAGATTGTACTTCTTCGGGACGGCGAATTCGGGAAGACGAGAACAACCTTTGAAATGACTCATTTTCAGAATTGTGGGAAAAAAGAAGAATGAATGAATGTTGCCTATAGAAGAGGCTATACAAGTTTCAAATTTGTTTTTTTTTTTTTCATATAAATTGCCAAAACATGACTTTTTTACATTTTTTCTGATAACATTTACCTAATGTAGCCACAACCAGTTTTTTCACCAGTAATTTCCACACGAGCAACTACCATTGGAGAAGTGATGAAAAATCTTGGAATCTCCCACAATGATTTCTCTTTTCGTCATTTTCGACGCCTTCTCCAAGAACTCGTGACATTTTCTGCAGATTCTCGTGTTGTTCTTCACCCTAACTGTTCTTCCTGTTTCCGTAGAGATCAATCCGAGACATGTAGCGAGTCTTACCGAATGTCTTCTTGGTGAATTGCTTCTTCTCTTCAATAGAGTCTCTGGTCTCAACTTCGAAACACAGTGAACATAACTGTCTTCTTCTTCTCCAATCATCCTTGAGACAATATTTAAGACTTCATAGATCTTGTTTGTCTCCACGTGGGATCTATCTCCGTTAGTGAACACTTGAGTTTTGCTCTTTGTCTCAACAGTACTGCGACTTGTTGTTCTTGTTATGCCTTTGCTCTTCATGAGAAGCTTGATCCTATTTACATCTTCCCATCTTCCAGCTTCTGTATACATGTTTAAAAGCAAGACATAGCATCCCGTGTTATCGTGTTCCATCTTAAAGATCTGTTCTGCTGCAAATTCAGCTACGGTTATGTCGCTGTGGTTTCTACTTGCGTTTAACAACGATCCCCAAATCCGAGCTGTTGGCATCAATGGCATTTCTTCAATGAATCTCGTGGCTGAGCTGAAGTTTCCTGTACGACCAATGAGATCCAGCATGTACCTGTAATGCTCTATTCCAGGATCAATCCCGTATTCTCTTTTCATCAAATCGAAATATTTCCATCCTTCATTAATCATACCGGAAATGCTACATGCTGCTAGTAGTGAAGCAAATGTACTCTTGTTTGGTTCTACTCCAGAACTAATCATCTCTGAGAATAAGCAAACCGAAATTCTCCCAAAACCGTGTACTGCATAGGCCATGATGATGCTGTTCCAAGAAACAATATCCTTTAAAACGACTTGGTCAAAACATTTTCTTGCATCCTCGAGGTCTCCACACATGGCGTACATGTGAACGAGTGAATTCAAGATGATAGTGTTTGACCCGTATCTGGCTTTTATGATATAAGCATGAAATGTTCTACCTTCACTCAGGGAGAGAGATTCTGCATAAGCCGGTAGAATACTAGCAATTGTTGTAGAGTCAGGTACAAGCGATGAATCCAAGAGCTCTTGCAATAGCTCCAAGGCTGAATAGTTCTTCCCGTTCTGCACATAAGCAGCAATAATCGAGTTCCATGAGACCAAATTCTTCTCAGCCATTCGATCAAATATAACCTCAGCTGATTTTAACTTCCCGCATTCTCCATACATATCAATCAGAGCAGTTTCCAATACAATATGAGGAAAAAACCCTCTCCTCATTGCGTACCCGTGAATCGTTCGACCCTCCAAGATCGCACACGCAGGAAGCAGATTTATCAATGTGATAACATCAGGCTGCAACCCATTTGCCTTTAACAATTTCTGAAAGCAGAGAAAAGCATCAACTACTCGGCCATTTCTAGCATAACACCCTATCATAACGTTCCAAGCTACGATGTTCCTCTGGATCATACCGTTAAATATCCTCTCTGCATAACTCACTTCACCATATTTACTGTACATGTCAAGAACTGATGTCAACACCATAACATCACTTGTTTCAATTCTACTTCGAATAGCATAGCAATGTATCTCCTTTCCCAATATTGGACTATACACATAAGAACAAGCACCTAAAGCGCTCATGGTACTGAACCTATCCGGTTCAAATCCGCATTTCAGCATTTCTTTAAACAGCATCAACGAGCGAAAACCATCTTCAAGTGCGAGATATCCAGAAATCATAGAATTCCACGAAACAATGTCTCTCTCAGGCATTTCTTCGAACACTTTCTCTGCATCCCAAGCGCACCCAAGCTTCATGTACATAGATATAAGAGAATTACAAACGTAAACATCTGAAACAAACCCAAGCTTGATCACCATCGCGTGAATCTTCTTCCCGTCTTCCAACGACGAAATCCCAGCAACCGATTTGATCACGAAAGGATAAGTAAAGGAATCAGCTTTGATTCCTGCAAACACCATTCTACAATAAAACTTAACCGCTTCATGATACAACCCAGAGCTAACGAAACCTCTGATCATCACATTCCAAACAAAAGCATCAGCTTTGTTCATTTCATCGAACAGGTGGAGTGCATCTTCAATGGAACCCGAATCAGCTAAATTTCGTAACGCCCGAGTGAGTGCAGGATCATTGAGCTTGTTACGTTGCTTTGATCGGTCCCGGACAATTATCCGAGTAGGTTTCGAGAGTCTCTGGTCGATCACGAGATTTCGCTTCACCTTCGTTTGGTGCCGATTCTCAGAAGAAACACACTTGCAAGCATCGAAATTGTAGATACAGTAACATCGAGCAAGTATAGTCGCAGCCATGATTAACACTAGAAATTGAGTTTCAATGAAATTTGTCTCTCGTTGTCGTCATTATCGTCTTTTGCATCTTTATTTTCCCGCGGGAACTTTTTTGCTTGTTTTTTTCTATTGTCAATGACTTTATTTAACAATGAAAAAAACACAACAATGGTTTTGTTCTGTTTTGAAAATATTTACAAGTTTCTTCAAAGGAGTTTTTAAGAGAAGAGGTCTTCACGGCTATTAC